TGAATATCACTTTATGTTAATACCTTTTAAAAGCATGGAATATAAAGTAAGCAAATCATCACCATCTTAAAGCCATGAACAACAAGATTGTTACACGGGATGCTACCGACAACAAGGTCGAATCCGCCAAATCTACTCATCAATTGCTCCAACCGATCACCATTCAGTTCTCGCACATCTGTTTTTAAAGATATACTAAGACAGTAGAAGGCGACCTTTGCAGCACTGATTCCAGCAAAAAGAAACAAGACATTGATATCACTGGGAAACATGTCTCTATACAGATCCTTGTGTATGGTTTTTAAGGAAACCTAGAAGCATTTCCACCTCATCAGGTTCAAGTGGAGCAACTTTATTCCTTCCAACCCATACTAGATTCCATTTTCAGCACTCATCAAGAACATACTTCTGGACACTCGAAGGTGGCTCATTGTCATAAGTTTCAAGAGCCTTATAGATTCCTTTCTGTCAATTTGGCACTTCCTGTACATGTTTATAAACAGTTCAACTTTGTTCTTGGATCCCATGAAGGCCATCATTTCTTTGTCAATGGAAAAGCATCAGCACATGGAGGAAGCAGAATAAGAGAAAATCTGTTCTTAATTGGCAGAATTATGAATATAGCCCTTTTCAGTGTAATAACATGAAAATGCTTCGAATCTACAAATTCTGGCTTTACATCAAATAAGTACTGTGATATCCCAGTCCAAACATTAACTGGAATAAATGTCATGTGCTCATAGCATCTTCTGGAAGTGTTCTTTGAGTTATCTGATCTGGTTTGGTAAAATCAGTCATTGAATTTGGAAGAATAATGTGCTCATAGCATCTTCTAGAAGTGGTATTTGAGTTATCTGATCTGATTTGGTAAAATCAATCATTGAATTTGAAAGATAAATATGCTCATAGCATCTTCTGGAAGTGTTCTTTGAGTTATCTGATCTGGTTTGGTAAAACCAATCATTGAATTTGAAAGATAAATGTGCTCATAGCATCTTCTGGAAGTGTTCTTTGAGTTATCTGATCTGGTTTGGTCTGAAACTACAGAACCAGTCATTGAATTTGGAAGAATAATGTGCTCATAGCATCTTCTAGAAGTGTTCTTTGAGTTATCTGATCTGGTTTGGTCTGAAACCACAGAACCAATCATTGGAATTGAAAGATGAACTGCATGATCATCTTCATTAAGAAGCTTCTTTTTAAGCTTCCTCTGCTTCTTCCTTTTCCACAAATCATAGCCCAAGTTTCGCCTTTTCTTGTAATTGGGATCATTGCATAATGGCTTCCCATCTTTTACCGGAAGAAATGTGTCGGCAGCCTTAGCCATTTGAGCAGCACATATAAAATTTGTCAAGTCTGCAATTGATGAATCTGAACCACATCTCTCCATGGCTATTGAAGCTTTAGCCTCTGAGAATCCCATTTTTGTCAAGTATAACAGTTTATTCTCCTCATCAGAATCAGAATTCAAGATTTCACGGTATTAAAAGAACTATCGATATTTGTGAAATCATCTTGAAAGGTCATTTCATAATCAGATGAGTTGTTATCAGAATCAACATGTCACATGCAGGCAAGCTTTTCAGGAGCCTATACTATTGAGTTTTATTCTCAAGAGATTTTGTGACATTATATCTACATTTGTCAAAGATGATAGATTCTCTGATATGAAGAAGAAAGATTTATTGGGTTTCTACAACTGAAGAAATATTCAGTTCACCAATCTGAAATCAAATAACTTAACAATCATGCATCATATTTAGGCATTTGCAAAAATAGGTGCATTTTCATTCATTCTCATCCATGTTGAATTCTGACAGGAATTTCAAAGATTTTAGCAAATATTTAAATCCATTATTCAATGGATCAACAGTGTCAGTTCGAGTTCATAATGAGAAGAACTCATCTGAAGAAGGAAGAAGAAGTTCATAATGAGAAGAATTTGTTCAACCTTTTGCTCAAATCCATCACTTGATGGATCAGCTTTTCCAGTTCGAGTTCATAATGAGAAGAATTCATCTGAAGAAGGAAGAAGAAGTTCATAATGAGAAGAATTTGTTCAACCTTTGCTCAAATCCATCACTTGATGGATCAGCTTTTCCAGTTCGAGTTCATAATGAGAAGAACTCATCTGAAGAAGGAAGAAGAAGTTCATAATGAGAAGAATTTGTTCAACCTTTTGCTCAAATCCATCACTTGATGGATCAGCTTTTCCAGTTCGAGTTCATAATGAGAAGAACTCATCTGAAGAAGGAAGAAGAAGTTCATAATGAGAAGAATTTGTTCAACCTTTTGCTCAAACCCATCACTTGATGGATCAACTTTTCCAGTTCGAGTTCATAATGAGAAGAACTTGTTTAACCCTTTGCTTGAATTCATCATTTGATGGATCAGAAGCGCCAAAGAGAGTTCGTAATGAGAAGAACTCATCTGAAGAAAAGAAAGTTCATAATGAGAAGAACTCATTTGAAGAACAGAAAGTTCATAATAAGAAGAGCTTATTCAACCTTTTGGATGACTCTATCACAGAAGGAAAAAGGTCAACATCATCCCCAGTGGAAAGTTCATAATAAGAAGAACTCATCTGAAGAAAGAGAAGAATTTATTCAACATCTCCATCATAATCAAGTGAAGCCAAATGGATAAAAAAATTTATTATCTTTTCATCTTTGCCCTATTCCTGTTAACACAAGAATGAGCAAAGAGGGGCAGCTGAAGATACTAATTTTTTACCCATATTGATTTATTTATTATTATTATTATTATTATTATAATTATTATTATTATAATTATTATAAATATTATTATTATTATTATTATTATTAAATATATTAAATATATATATAAATAATAATAATAATAATAATAATAAAAATAAAATAAAATACAAGCCCAAATTTTCGGCCCAAACCAAACTGAAACCCTAAACATTTAGGGTTTCAGCTAGGGTTTCTAACCCTAGCGCCGCAGCCGCCTCAGCCAACGGTCCAGCTTCCAGCCGCCTCTGCTGTCAGTGCCACGCCTCCATCGAAGCCTCCAGAAGACCCAGATGGTCACCCACGTTGCTACTCTAGCAGTGAGTCACCACATAGTTCGATGACTCACCGAAATCCGCTCTTCGGACCGGTCTGAGACGAGTGCCGGTGATGGCTATAAAGCCATCACCCAACCTGCAAATGAGAAAACACACAGAGACAGAAAGAGACAGAAAACAGAGAGCAAACGTCCCACAACCAGCAAAAACCAAAACAGAAAGGAAAAGAAAAGAAAGGAGCTTACCGAGGAAGCCACCGGACCCCTTCAAACGTCACCAAAACCTTCGGAAACCGAAGGTACTTCTTTAGATTCGCTCCGATCAGGAGCCATTTAGGACAAAAGAGCACCGGAACCGTCCTTAGGACGGTCCGATCTATCTAATGGTGTAAAAATAAAATTTTCCGGCCACCGGATACGGTGGCCGGCGGTGAGGGTCACGGCGGCAGACGGTTGCCGTCCGGTGACCGGCTTCCCTCCGATGAGGGAAGCTAGAGAAAAGCCAGAGAGAAATTTTGTTCTCTCTCTGTTAGAGAGAGAACAGAAATGAAGAAATGAGAAGCTGGCCCGTAGGGCCAGCCGGTTTAGGGTATTAATACCCTCTCCCAAACGACGTCGTTTTGGGGAGGGTATTTCTGTAATTTCATAAAGGGTAAACCCCGTCCGAAGCCATTCCAACTTGTAAATTTTACATTTTAGTCATTAAATCGAGTTTATAATCCTTTTAATTTGATCTTTAAATTTTAGTTTTATTTATTTTAGTCCTTTATATTAAAATAATATATTTAGGATAAATAACAGATTTAATCCCTTAATTTTAATAAATAATATTTTAATCCCTAGTTTATATTTTTAATTAATTTTAATCTGATATTTCAAATTTTAGATAAGTTTATTTTAGTCACTAAATTAATAAATAAGAAAATAGCATGTTTAATCCCTGTAATTTTGATTAATCATGAATTAGGTTTTTAATTTTAATTTTACTATAATTTAGTCACTTATTTTAAATATTTTTTATTTTATTGCTTTTAAATATATAGCTCTAATTGTATTTTTATTTTAATTTTACTTGTTTATATATTTAAATATTTTTATTATGTAGTCATAAATATATATATAATAAATAAATATTTATTTTAAATAAATTATTTTAATATTTATTCTTTAATATCGAAGAAAAGGACAGTCTTAATACAACTGGATGTCTTATTCTGGTATTTTAAAATTAAAAATTATAAAAATATTATTTAATTTAAATTAATATTTATCAATATCAAAGAAAAGAGCTGTCTTAAGGCACCTAGAAGTCCTTTTCCGATATTTTTAAATATTTTTTATATAATTTTGAAATTATAAATTAAATATATTTTTGAATTTTTAAACTTTTTAATAATAGAGACAATTTATAATTAAAAAGTACCAATTTTGGGCGTTGTAGGGGTGCTAATCCTTCCCTAAATGTAACCGACCACGAATCCCTTTTTATTATTAAAAAGAACGAATTTTTGGTTATAAACGCATATCAGTTCATTTTTTAATTGATGTTTTCTTAAAACTCTTTTAAAAAATAATTTTTAGATATTCGACCTACCTGACCCAAAAGGCCGATGGCGACTCCCAAATTATTTTCAAAACCATTTATTCACATCAATTTTCCCGCCAAATAAATATTTCGTGCCCGGACGAAAACCGGTTACGACACAGTCCATGAAACGCACAACAGAGACCCTATCAAAATGACCCTTTCATCACACACACACCACATGAAAGGAACAACCTATAGATGTACCAGAAAGTAAACAAAGCTACATGATAGATGCTAGTGATTATATATACCTAACCAAAAGAATGTGAATAAAAAAGAGATTTATGTAAATTCAAATTATTAGCAAAACAACCAATATCATATAATTGATACATGATGGTGTTATCTGCTAATTGGTAACCTAATAAAAACCCATAAATTGAAGAAAACAACACATTTCATCTTTCAAACATCAACCAATATCCAAACAACACAAAATAGGAGTGAGGGTTTTATAAGTCATTTACATTTTTTGTATGTGCAGGTCACTCAAGGCCTTCTTTCAATACTTCCCTCATCGTCCTTCAAATTTAAAACACCAATTTTGCATGAAAAAATGTCTCTCTTCAACCAATATCTCTATATTAAAACTTTGTTCCTGAAATGCCAACACCATATATGAATATCAATTTGTCATGTATATAAAATACTCTTCGATCCATCCAAATTTCTATAAATTCAGTTAATCAAATTTATTAAATCTCAAAAAATTAACTGAGAGGTTATGAAACGGACCCCAATTAACTCTAGATCTAATTTGAAAACACGCGATTCAAATTAAGAAGGGGCAAATGATAATCTCGTTAAAGGAAATGGAAATGTAGCATATAAGTAAAGACACACCTACGTCTGTTTGGAATAAGAGGAAGAGGAAGGGACGCGTTTGTTACGGAACATCATGTATACGACGGGCAATACGACTCCGATCATCATGACAGCTGCTCCGATGATATATCTTAATGGACTCGGTGGCTCAACCTCTATCATTGCTTTCAACTGCACCGAACGCAATCAGAATCCAACATTAACCATCAATTTGATATGCAATTAAAGAAAAAAAATCATTATGAACTTCAAGATCTGAATCGAGCCGTGGAAGGAGACTTACGGGCATTATTTCGGGGCTGTTCCTTTGAGTATAACTCTGGTTCGAAACTCTAAGGATTTAGGTCACCGGGTGAAGAAATGAAAGGAACTAACAGAGAGGGAGAAGATTTGGGGACAATTAATCTGGAAAATATGGATCTGTTTGGGTTCGCAATTCTCAACTGCTATTATTATTTATGGGTAAATTACATATATAATCATTAATGTTTGAATAATTGTTTTTGTTGATGTTTCAAAAATATTAATTTAATAACTAATGTGATTGATTTATAATTAATTGATCACTTTATCATTAACAACAAATATTAAATTAATGAAATTTTGATTTGACACGTTAATTCGACTTAATAGCATTTTTTGATTTATACGATAATAGAAGAAAAGAGACAACGACCGAATAAAATGATCTTACGTGATTAAATAATATTATAAAAATCAAATTAATTTATCATGTCAGTACTCCAAGTAACTATTGTGAGATTATCAGTGTGAATAAAATATTATCAGATAATAGGATTATTAAGAATGTTGTATTTTGTGCTTGGTTGATTTAGTAAGAATGTAAGATTACCATGTTTGGTTAAAGGAATAAAAGATTATTATAATGTATATTTGACCAAATTATCCTTATTATATATTTGTTTTTTTAAAAAGTTGAAAAATATTTATATATTTTCTTTAAAAAATTTAAATTCATAAAATTTATATAATTTTTTTACAAAATTAAAAATATAAAAAGGTTTAATGGAAGGATAAAATTTTATTTTAACCCCTGAACTTTATATAAAATTTTAATTATATATTTTTTGTAAATTTAAAATAGTTTAAAAATAAATTTGTAATTTAACATTCGTAGAATTTTTATTATTTAATGACAGAATAATGATATTTTTGAAAGAAAAAAAATTTAAGTGCATTTTAGTCTAAAACGCCGATAATCTAACAATACCTAAGGGAAGGGGATAATGACATTCCCGGTAATATATCCTAAAAAATCTACTATTGATAATAAAATATTACCGGGAATGACATTTCCGACCAACTAAACGGGGGAATATGGATTCTATTCCCATGAGAATCCCACATTCCCCCAACCAAACACCCTGATTTATAAATTAATAATGTGAATGACCAAATCATTATTAGTCATCTAAATTTATTACTGTTTATATATTTTTTATTAAACATTTAAATAAATTTATACCAAATTTGAATAAAAATATTTTATTATTAAATAATATAATTTGGATTCAACGTAATTTTAAGCGGTGTTTATCGAACGACTTGATCGTGAGTTGAGTAGTTTTTAACTCGTGCCCGTTAAAATTTTTTGTTATTTGGTTCGGCTCGTTGTTCGTTAAGCTCGTTAGAATTTTTCCCAACTCGTGCTTGTTAAAAAAAATTATTACTCGACTCTTTGCTCATTAAGCTCACCAGAATTTTCAGGTACGATAATTAGGATTTGATTTTTGGTTGTAATAAAATAATAATTATTAATTAAAATTTTAATATTTTTCTTATTGTTTATTAGAAAACTAATAGATTAATAAATCAGTAGTAATTATTAATTAACAAATTTAATATCTTCTTTATTATCATTAATAAATTAATAATTATTATTTAAACTTTTTATATAATAATTTTGGGAAAATTGCATATTTAGTACCTAAACTATTAATTTTGGACTGTTTTAGTACCTAAACTTTTAATTTTTTCAAAAACATACCTAACGTTTAGTTTTTATTTCATTTTAGTACTCAGCCGCTAAAAACTTAATGTATTTAGTACTTAAAATATAAATTTTGATCTATTTTATTACTTAAACTTTGAATTTTTTAAAACTTAACGTTAAATTTTGAACGGGGTACTAAAATGAAACAAAAACTAAAGTTTTTAATGTCGGGTGCTAAAATGAAACAAAAACTAAACTTTATGTATGATTTTAAAAAAGTTAAAAGTTTAATTACTAAAACGGACCAAATTTAATAGTTTAGATACTAAATGTGTAATTTACCCAATAATTTTTTAAGGTATGTACTAAAAAATTATTAAAAAATTAACGAACTTCTCACGAACTTATTGAGTTGAATTGTACCTTACTCGACTCAACTTGTTAAGGTATTGAGTTGAACTCAAATTCGAGTCAACTCAACCTAAATCGAGCATTGACCAAGTTTTAACCAAAGTGAGTACAAAATCTGCTTAACCCATTAATTATCCCTAGAAACTTGTGATATGTGAACATTGAAAGTAATCCTCTTAAATTATTATAAAATATGTATTTATCGTTGAACTATCATTTTAATTTACTCTAAAAATTAATTCGTTAAAAAAGAGTGGTAATATTGGACTTGAAAAGGGCAGTACCTAACTCCTTATGACTTTTCAACTACTTCTTGCTGCTGTCACGCAAATTCATCATACAATATACATTGTGTACATTCACAATCCACGTCGAGCATTATGTGACAATGGACGGGCAATTTGGGAAATGTGTTCTATCCACTGCCCATTCAAAGTTCAGGTAAGACAATTTTTCTTCCATTTTGTAAACTCCAATTATACTTCATAGTCACACACGTGAGAAATATTTACGAAACTGAAATTTATTTATCAATTTCTCCATCTATGACCAATTTTAGCATGTCTATTTCCCTTTAGTATCATTTCATGTCTAAACTCAAGCATGCATACAAACCATCTGCTAAAGGCTAAAGCTACAATATAAACCTATAGGGCGTTAAAAATCTTTATAATGTACAATCAGGATCGACAGAATATTAGAGATGTATTCACTGTCGAAAGGATTTTTTTCTTAAAGATGAAAAAGTGAGATTTTAAAAATTACATTAATTTTTAAATTATCTCTTTCAATTGATTTTTAATTTAAAAACAAATATAATTTAAAAACCTCTCGTTTCGAAAAATTTTAGATTTCTTTTACGATCGAAAAAATACGGTTCAAAGAGTTGCCACCAATATTTGATTAAGGTATGATTGGGCACCCAAAAAATGTTTGTTATTTTAATTAAAAATTAATTTTAATTAAAATAACAAATTAAGGTATGCGTTACCAAAATCCGAGTTCGGGAGTCGGTTACGTGTAGGGAAGGATTAGCACCCCCACAACGCCCTAAAACAGTACATAGTCGATTTAATTAATGTCTTTGCAATGAACTTTACAAATTTGAATTTAATTTGATTTTTGATCCCATAAAACAAAGATGTAAATTTAAAAACATTCAAAAGCACTCAAATAAATTAAATTAAAATTATCAAGTCGTTTTAGAAAGATAAAGAATGTTCGATTATTTACAAATATCGAGACCATATCTTAAAAGCTATAACAACCTTTTCTCGATAAATTTAAATAAACGAACATTTCATTTTCTTTTGTTCCCAAATTTTAGGTGACGAATCAATTTTTGGTTTCACTTTCGGGATACACTTTTAACTTAAAATGGTCATAACGACCCTCTAATCAGTTAAGACAGGCCACTCAAGACAATTTTAAATTAAAAGGGTATTACCCTTAGTCCGATTATGTAATAGGTCGAGTTATGCACGTGAGGGTATCATACAAATTGTGCAAAAAGTGGATGTCATGCCAAAATTAATTATACAAAATTAAAAATATCATACAATGTGACATACAAAAAATTATATACGTATATTTTAATTAAAAATCATAAATTATGCATATTGACATATTATGTACACATGTGACCTAAATATAAAAATAAAATCATAACATGCTAAACTATAAATTTAAAAAGTGTATATATACATATTAAAATAAGGACTAAATTTAAATACACATAAAATTAAACATACTAATTAAAATTTAAAACAAAGACTTAAAGAAAAACAAACATAAACATAATGGATTTAAATAAAACACGCATAAATATAAGGGATTTACACCTAAATAATTCAACAAAATTATAACTAATACTAAAATTGGAAAATAGCGAAATTGGGACAAACAAGAATGACTAAATTTTAAAACTAACCCCTTAGGTGACTAATTTATGGAAAGGCACCTAAATATGGGGGACTAGAACCTAATTTACCCTAAAGTTATAACATATAACCTAAGTTAAAAAACCTAAGTTAATTTGCTAGAACCAATTACCCAGCCGTTCACCCTTTCTTCTTCCACGCTCGGCTATTCATCCCTCAAGCAAATACCCACCGTTATGAACTACCTAAGAAACCTAAACGATCAAAGACTGAAGACCCGACCCCATGGCCTTAAACCCAGCTCTAGTGATCCCAGAAGACCTCGACTCCGGCGATGAACACAATAAAGGAAACTACACGATACAGGTAACCTCGAACGACCTTCTTATTTTCTATTTATGATTCGAAATAACACGAACTGGAAAAGGAAAAAAACGAAGGAGAATATCTAAACAAAAATCAATCTTTCAATTGCTTTTTCCTTTTTTTATTTGACAATGGAACCAACACACATAATAAATGGAATCAACAAGACACCATTGATGTTCGAGCAGTCTAGGTAAGTCCTAATCTCTCTCAAATTTTAGTTTTAAACCACAATTACACATACATTAAAAAATGAACTGGAAAATAGAGAAATTGAATAATGATTCCTCGAAAAACATTCCTTTATTACGCTTATTTGTTTTTCAATTGTAAGATTACAATAGTATTTCCTTTGGCACTCTTTTTGCACTTGTAAAATTACTGATAGCTAGTATACTTTTCTTTCTAAATGCTTTCCTTCGTTTTTTGTTCTCTCTGTTTCTTGTCTATTTTTTCTTTTATTTTTTCTGTGTGTGTAATCTTTTTTGTTGTGTGTCCTCCCTTTTTTCTGTGTGATCCCCCTTTTTTTTATCAATCTCTGTGTAATATCCTCGTTGCCAGTTTCCAGTGGTTAATTGTAACTTAAAAAAACTGACCATTACAGTTTCCTCATTACTCACGTATCCTTCCCACGACAGAACAATACTTCTCTCATTTTTCTGCTTATTACCCCCATAACCGTTCTTGTTTTGCAGGACTTCACGTTGACTGAAGTTTGGAATCAGCACTGTTGTCTTGGGCTGATTTGGGCTCCTACTGGTCCAAATTTATATCGTGTACTGGATACGAAGCCTCCGATGCAGTCCCC